GCAATTATTATCAACGTGATCAGCACATATATGCTTTTCGGCAGTGCATTGTGCTGGTTATGTTCAGGAGGATGCGCAGTCGCTAAAGTCGAAGATGCGTGAGCGGGCAAGGCCAAAACTCGGTCGAATCAACATCGATTATCAGAAGTTGCACGATGCATTCTTTAAATGGCAAACAAAACCAGTAATGACTCATATGGGCGAGCTGTATTATGAAGGTAAAGAGTTGGAAACGGTTATGCGCGAGAAGAAGCCGGGTGATCTCTCTGATGAAATCAGAATTGCTCTCGGAATGCCAGTTGGTCCAGTGAGTCTTTGCTTTCGTGCTTGTAAAATTTATTCATGCATGCTGCCGCAGCTTTAGGATATTTGGAGTTAACTGGGATCCTTTTTCCCCCATTGCGAAGGGAACCATTACCTTTGTCAATTATGCATTTTTTTTTTTTTTTTTGGAAATCATACTGGAATTGTGTACGCAGGGTTGTGATTAATTCATTGCGAGTTTTTCCTTAAGGTGCTTTTCGAAAAAGTAGGTTTTCTTTGATGCAAATTGTTCTGACTGTTACATTAATCGGGTGAAATTCACAACGATTTTTTGGCTGTTATAAAGGAAATTGTGCTTCTCAAGCATTGCCGCCAACATAAGTGATTGTGCAGTCTGTCAGATGTGCACTTTCTAGTGCTTTCAGAATGCGCACAAATTTCCACCGCCATGGCTGATTGCAATGCAACGGTATGGGCCACCGCCATCCTATCCAAACTTAAAAATACCGGGACTGAATTGCCCAATACCAGAAGGATGTGCATTCGGTTATCATGCTGGCGGATGGGGCAAGCCACCGGTTGACGAACTTGGCAAACCTCTCTACGGTGATGTGTTCGGTCTTGAGGTTCGTGATTTTCGGAATTTTTTGTGTTCATGTTAGTGAGCATACGGCTGTTGCAAGTGCTTTTTGCTGTTAATAAAATTATGCGGTAGTTAGGTGATCCAAGTTGAGCTTGTTGACTGGGACACTGCATTGGTGAGACTATTAAGTTGCTATTTTTGTCATGAAAACAGCGTAACTCTCTTTTTAGCTTTATGCATTCACATTGTCCGGGTCCCACACCTTGGCGAGCTGCGGGAACTAAAAGTGCGCAGTGGCTTTAAGTTTATGGAGATTCGCGCTATTCGTAATAATCGTCTAAGAGAATTCATTTTTAAGTGTTTTTACGGCGTAAATAGCTATAACTCCATGCAACCGCAAATCTTTGTCGTGCCGAAAAAGAAATTACAAAGCAATGAGCAATGGAACTAATGGCGACTTCGGATTTCTTCTGTTTAACTTGTTTGGAAATTAGAAGTTTCATGCTCGCACAGCTGGAAATCTTTTGTTCCTAATTTGAGAAATTGGACTGGATTTTTGGCAAATTTTTCAGGCGCCGACACTCCCGGAATTGGATGATGAGTCAAGAATTGAAAGACGTCACTGGGGTGAAATTGGCAGCGATGAGGATTCTACAGCTGGAAGTGATGAGGAGGACGAAGGTGGCGCTGAAGGGGCAGACGCCGGTTTTATTACGCCAGCTCCTACCGAAGGGTGCGCTTTCTCTTTTTCTGCGTTTTGTGCTGTAACACCACACACAGAAATAAGGTCGTTATAGTTTGTGTTTTATGCAGTATTTTTCATGACTTTCATAT